CGGGGCCCAGTGGGTGCAGGGAAGGTGCCGAGCCTGGCCGAGGGCGAAGGGTGGGGAAAGGTCTCAGACCGGAGAGCCACCGCCGCGGGGGCCCCTCGTACTGAGGAAGGGGACCGGGGCGGGAGACCAGCCCGAGGGCTTCCTGCTATTGTCCCCGGCCCTGTCCCCCCTTTCCCACCCCTTCCCCAGCTCTGCTTGGCTCTGGCTGTGACCTCAGCCACTCCCCAGAGGTAGCTTCCTGAAAGAGAAGAGAGAGAGGACTGTTTCCTCCTCCCAAGAACGGGGAGAGGAGTGGACCAGGTCTCCCCGGGATTCCTGCGGGTCACAGTGAGCCCTTCCCCAGGTCAGGGGTGGGTGTGAGCCATCCAGATGCTGCTGCCCAAGACAGCTGTGAGAAGCCCGCAAAGATGCCTCAGTGAGGGAGGAGAGGCCGCCAAGTGCTTTACGGGCTGGGCCAATCCTGCCTGCGAGTGCGTGGGGGGCCAGGGTGAAGAGAGGTGGGGGAGGGAGGCAGGGCCTGCTCTGGGGGAGAAGGAAGGGGCTGGGGTGCCTGCTGTCAAAGCATTTTGCCTGGAAATGGAAAGCATGCAAATGAGATGCAAATGAGTCTATTGTCCCTAGCTAGGAAGCCTTTGCTCAGAAGGCTGGGAGTCTGAAGGTTTCGACATAGGAGTGGTCCTCATGTCCCGCAGACTCTCCCAGTGGCTCCTTCCCCCAGGTCTGGCCCTGCAGTTCTGGGAGTTTCTGGCTGGGAGCCATCCTCTGCCTTCCTCTCTGAGCCCCAAGCCGCCCCAGCACCTTTGGAACCACACTGTGTGCCCCCTCCCCCGCTTTCCAAGGCAGCGTCTCCCCCACACTGACAGCTTCAGCAGACTTCTCTGGCATGTTCACACTCTCCAGCCCATCCCACTACTGGGGACGGGATCCAGGGGTGTTCTCCCACTGACCTGCACCCCAAGCCTTTTTTATATTTTTGAGACAGTCTCAGTTGCCCAGCCTAGGCCATGCTTAATGGTCCACACCTGTGCTTCCAGCCCTCAGGAAGCTGAGGCAGGAGGATCATGGTGAGTTTGAGGCTGGCCAGGGCTACATAGTTTAAGATCAAACTGAACCACTTAGTGAGACCCTGCCTCAAAAACAAAATAACAATAAAAAACGAGTTGCCCAAGTTGGTTTAGAATTTGTAGATTCTACTGCTTCAGCCTCCCTGTCGCCATAGGTGTTCGTCACTACACCCAGCTTCACTCACATTTACTTCTGAAGAAAGACTTAAAGAAAAACAAGTCTTTGCCAGGGATTTAGCTCAGGGGTTCCACGGCCTGCCTGGAAAGCGCAAGGACCCGAGTTCGATCCCTGGTGCCAAAAACAAAAATAAGTCCTTCCCGGCCTTGGGCAGTCTCCCCCCACAATCGCTGTCCTCTCCCCTGTAGCCCTAACTCCTTGTTCTGGTACAGATAAAATTGACAACTCTGTCCTGTAAACAAAGTTTATGATACTCTGTTCTCATATGATTCATAAAGACACTGTCTATCTTCAAGGCAAGGTTACAAAACTGCCCTTAAAAACCATCCCCTTCTACAAAATATTTAAAAGCTGGAAGTTCTCTTTGTTTAGCACTCTTCTTTGGACAGGAGTCTGTGGAGCTGGTGTGCAACCCTTAAACCTGAAATAAATCCTCCTAACCCCCCCAAACGGGTCGCTCCTGTCTCTTGGAATTCTGCAACATTTCTAAGGGATGTGGAAAGGGAGGTGTAACTCAGCCTCTTCCCTCCTTTCGTCCCTTCTTCCATCAGGTCAGAGGTCTCTTGCCCCCTCAGAGGTCTCCTGTCCCCCTCCGTCCCCACAGGAGCCAACACACCAGGTAAGGAAAGCCAGGGATGGAAGCAGGCACGGCCAGGAGCCAGAAGAGGGTCTCCCTGTTCTCCCCACTTGCTAGAGCCCAGAGTCGTTTCCAGGGTGAAGATACTAGTTGCCCAAGGCAACTGGGGGGGGGCAGGGGAGCATGGGAGCCAAGCTGTGTCCCTTCCTCTTCCCCTGGGAGCCCCAGCATCCGGGAATGTAGTACGGGGGAGGGAGGGAAGGCGCTGGGCCTGTGGACGCCAGAGGGTCGTTAGCTGGCTGGCTGCTCTGCCCCTGGGGAAGGTGGGTCATCATTAGGTGTTCCTACCCCTTCCCTTCCTGCGGCTCTCTGGGGGCCCCACCTGACGTCAGCCTCCCACCAGTGACGCTGGATTGGGGGTGGGGGACACTTGGGTCCTGGCTTCAAGAGTGGGGTTACTGGGAAGATGGACGCCTGTAAGCCCAGGGATTCTTGTCGAGGGGACTCGGTGGGATGGGTGATTGAGTATCACTGTGATCTGTTCACGAAAGAAAGCATTCTTAGCCTTGCTGACCTGATTTCCGGAGCCTCCTCGTCCCTCACTTCAATTTTAGGGGAAGGCAGGAAGCTGGCTCGAACCTCCCTCTGGGACTCCAGGGTAGCGGGCTGGGGAGGCTGAAGGGCTGGACTGGGACTTGTCTCCCCATCCCTTCCACCATATCCGTCTTTTCCTGGACTTTGGGCTACAGTTGCCTGCCATTGAATTATTTATATTTCAATTTCAGAGGCAGCCCGATGAGGGAAGAGAGGGAAAGAGGGACCCGTTCAGCCATTCCGCCTCACCAGTCCTCCTGTCCTTGGCCTCTCGTAGTGGGTGGGTCGGCCCTTCCCCCATCCTCTGTGCCCTGCTTCTTAGGAGCCAGGGAGGGAACAGGGGGCTGGAGAGGCTGGGAGGGGGACAGTGGTCGTGGAGACAGCTGCAGCCAGAGCTAAATTTAGCCTCTGATCTGGCTTTGATGCAGATTCATTTTTGGCTGGGACAGCCCCCGGCCCCCTCCCAGCCCCTGAAGCAGGCGCTTAGAGCAGAACAGTGACCCCTGGCCTGCCCGGCCGCTCTGGTCTTTCTCACTCTGCTAGAGGCTTGGCTGCCACACAGGGACCTCTGCCTGGCCCGGCTGCCCCACCTGGTGCAGCGCCTGCCTTGCTCCCAGGGCCCTGGGGGGGTCTGTGAGGGAGGGGAGGCCGACTTGGTGCCCTCTTCCTCCTCCTGGTGCCAAGGAGTCACTATTTATAATTTTAAGGCTTCAGGGTCTAATTATAGCTGACGGGGTTAGCACAGAGGGGCCGGAGTGTCACCGACCTAATGTCCCAGAGCCAGTCAGGAGTGGGGAGGCTGAGAAGGCTGGGAGGGAGCAGCTTGGCTTGCCCTGTCCTCACCTGGGGTCACTGGCGGCTCCACACCGGCCAGTTTGGGCCAGTTGGAGAGGGATCAGCCTGGAGTGACAGGGACAGCCTCCAGGACGGGGCTCTTCCCCTACCCCCGGGTCTTCTGGGGTTACTTCTGGGGAGGAGCTGCCCTCCCTTGGTCCCTTCCCCCACTCTTCTCTGTCTCCCCTTCCAGGGCCGGCCTATGGGTGAGGGGGTACCCCCTGGGGCCTGAGCTGCCCGGCACAGGATGCCCCGTGGCCCCTGCTTCATCCCCTTGCTGCTGCTGCTGCTGCTCTCCCTCCCCCACAGCCAGGCTGCCTTCCCCCAGGACCCCCTGCCCCTGTTCACTTCTGACCTACAAGGTGAGTGTGCCCACCCAGCTCACCCTTGGACGGAAGGTGCAGGGAGCACCTGGCCTCCTTTCTTCTTGTGATGTTCGAGGCTGGCCTCGGACCCATGGCAGTCTGCCTGCTTTATCCTCCTGACCTCTGTTCTTTCCCAAGCCCGTGCCTGGTTTTTCACTCAGTGTTGCTTGGTGGTTAAGAAAATGAATTCTTAGACCAAATCTTAGCAAGGTTTTTTGTTTTTCTTTTTTTGGTACTAGGAAGTGAACCCAGGACCTTTGCACCAAGCTACTTCCTCAGCTTTAAAAAAAATTTTTTTTTTTGGTACTGGGGATCGACTCGGGACCTTGTGTTCATGAGGCAGGCTGCGGAACCACTGGATTTATCCCTGGCCCTTTAAAAAATATTTTGAGACCTGGTCTAAATTGCTCAGGCTGGATGGAACATGTGACCCTCCTCCTGTCTCAGGCTCCCAGAGTGCTAGGATTACAGGCCTGTGCCACCAGGCCTGGGTTTTAGTTATTGTGACCTTGGTTAAAGTTGCCTAACTTTTCTTAGCTTCAGTCTCCTCATCTGAAAGGTGAAGAAAAGGACAGTATTCTTCCTTGTGGAGTTATTTAGGAACTAAATGAGGGAATGTAAGCGAATGCTTTTTGTTAGTTACAAGGTGAAGGCCAGGACCAGCTTTGTGGTTCCCAGTACCTCTTACTTCCCTCTCCACCCTTGATAGTAACTGTATAAACCTCTCCTTCTGGGAAGAACTTTATCTGTTTGCAGGTCCTTTTATACTTGTAGGAAGTAGAGGAAGCTGAAGGGTGGAGGAAGTGCATTTGGACTCCTGGGAGAGGCTGTCGGGGAGGGCTAAGAACAGGGAACACTTCCGGTGCCACAGTCGCATTTCTGGGCTCTCTGAACCCCGGGACCTGAGGTTCCCAGGACTGGGCCAGGTGGATCCTGGAGTTGGTCAGGAGAGCTGTGGTGGCTCCGAGGAGGTGGGGCGGGTGGAGGGAAGCGGGAGCTGGAGAAGTGAGACCGGGCTCTGGGTCGGAGTCCTGGAGAGTCTGCCATGACAAGCTGGAGCAGACGCCCGGGGCTGCCGTCTGCAGGCGACCTCACAGGGTTAATGTGAAACGAGATGGCGCCTTGGAAGTGCAACGCAGTGCTGGGCCGGATTAGGTGCTCCTGTTCCTGGTATGATTTTTATTAATAGCTGGGCCCTTCCTGCCATCCCTCTTCACCCTGTCCGAGGCGGGGTTTCCCCAGGCTGGCACCCTTGGGCCCTCAGCTCCACCCTCTTTCGTCTCCAGGTGCTTCGCCGTTGTCCTGGTTCCGGGGGCTGGAGGAAGATGCTGTGGCCGCAGAACTGGGGCTGGACTTCCAGAGATTCCTGATCTTGAACCGGACCTTGCTAGTCGCAGCCCGGTAAACTGGCCGAGGCTCAGTTGCGGGGCAGATGAGCAGGCTCCTGGGAAGACATGGGACCAGCATGGCCGCTGCAGCACCCTGCAGGGGACACCTGCAGCTGCACAAGCCAAGAGGACATGCTTGGACCTAGGTCCCCAACACCGGAGCGTGGAGTGCAGGGAGGAGGGCTGTGCAAGCTGTCCCTGCGCAGCTGGCCGCGGCAGAGCTGTGGCGAGGCGGGACTGAGAACCGGTGCCTCGGCTCAGCTCTGGCCCTCCCTTTCCTAACCCTGCAGGGATCACATCTTCTTCTTTGACCTTGAAGCCCAAGAAGAAGGGGAAGGGCTGGTGCCCAGCAAGGTGAGGCTGTGCAGGAGGCGGTGCGGGGCACAGAGAAGAGATTGGGGGAGGTTTGATGGGCCCGGGGGTGGGGAGGAAGCATGGGGGTCCAGGACGCCTCCAGGCTCCCCCTGTTACCTCTCCCTTCAGTATCTGACATGGAGGAGCCAAGGTGTGGAGAACTGTGCCGTTCGGGGAAAGCAGACGGTGAGGCGGGGAGAGGGTCCCTGCCCGTAGCCTCCGCCCAGGGGGTCCTCTGCCATGCCCTGCTTCCTGCCTGCTTTTCCAGCCCAGCCCAGAAGGATGATGGGGAGGGAAGAAAATTTCATCCTTTTTGGTTACTCACTCACGGAAAGGCTCAGAGGGGCCATGGGACTTGCCCAAGGCCACCTGCCTAGCTGACGGCCCAGTGGAGACTGTCCCACGTTACTCAAGGGTAGTTGCTTACTTCCTGTGACCCTGGCCCTGCCTTGCATTTTGGGTTCTCTAGGAGGAATGCTACAACTACATTCGTGTCCTTGTTCCCTGGGACTCCCAGACGCTCCTTGCTTGTGGAACGAACTCATTCAACCCCAAGTGCCGCAGCTACGGGGTACCACGGAGAGGGCGGACGGTGGGATGGGGCTGGGTGCCCAACGCAAGCTGGGCAGCAGTTCGACGGGAAGGGGCTAGGAATGGGGCTGGGAATGGTGTTGCTCAGAATGCAAGGGTCCAGAGGGGCACGTGGGGACACGGGGTGGGCCAGGGAGCCAGCATCCAGGACAAGTGTTCCAGGAGCCTGCTCCCTCTGCCCCCAGATAACTTCACTGCAGCAGGAGAGTAAGGAGATGGACGGGCGGGCTCGATGCCCCTTTGATGCCACCCAGTCCAATGTAGCCATCTTTGCAGGTGTGCACCCGGGCATGGGAGGAGCAGGGAGAGGCTGGAGGGAACGCCCGCCTTAGCTGGGTCTCCCTCTGTCCTGGAATGGAGGGTGAGGGAGGGGTGCAGGCAGCCCAAACCTGAGAGCTGCTGCCCTGTCCCCAGAGGGCAGCCTGTACTCAGCCACGAACACAGACTTCCAGGCCAGCGACCCCGTGGTTTACAGAAGCCTTGGGCCTCTGCCCCTGCTCCGCACTGCCAAGCACGACTCCAAGTGGCTCCGAGGTCAGGGAGGCCTGGGGAGGTTGGGGAGCAGGGCAGAGGCCCAGCCCCGGGGGGCTTTGGAGTGAGTGCCGCCTCCCCTGCTCCCACCTCAGAGCCGCACTTCGTCCATGCCCTGGAGCACGGAGACCACATCTACTTCTTCTTCCGAGAAGTCTCTGTGGAGGACGCCCGGCTGGGGAGGGTAAGAGCAGGCAGGCACCAGGGCTCTGACCCTTGTCCTTGTAACAGCCCCAGGCGACGGGCTCCCACTCTCGGCTCCCACGTCAGCCCGGGACCCCATCCCAGCCCGGACCCCATCTCCTGCCTGCCAGGTGCAGTTCTCCCGCGTGGCCCGAGTGTGCAAACGCGACATGGGCGGCTCAAGCCGGGCCCTGGACGGCCAGTGGACTTCGTTCCTGAAGCTGCGCCTCAACTGCTCCATCCCTGGGGACTCCACCTTTTACTTTGACGCCCTTCAGGCCTTGACGGGCCCAGCGAGCCTGCATGGCCGCACTGCGCTCTTTGGGGTCTTCACCACCCAGACCAACAGGTTGGTACCGGGCTGCCCGTCCAGCAGCTGGCTCCCCTCTCCAAGCCTGCGATGTGGGCAGTGGGGAAGCCTGAAGCAAAGCCTGTTTGCCGTCCTCCCCTTCTTTCCTCACCCTAGCATGGCACCCAGTGGCTGAGCCAGCCTCGCGTTAATGCCGGGCAGCTGCCGATCTTACCTGGCAGGAGCTGCATGGCCCTGTCGACAGCTGCCCTGCATCTTTTCTGGCTCCCGCAGCATCCCCGGCTCCGCAGTCTGCGCCTTCTACCTGGATGATATTGAGCGAGGGTTTGAGGGCAAGTTCAAGGAGCAGAGGAGCCTGGATGGGGCCTGGACCCCTGTGTCTGAGGAAAAGGTGCCCTCGCCCAGGTACCCAGGGGCAGAAGGAATGGGAGTGAGTGGAGGGTGGCCCTGGGGGGCGGCTGGCAGGGGCACTGGTGGCCTCAGGGCGCAGCAGAGTCTGTGCTGACGGGGCAGGAGCCGCCAGCCCTGTTGGTGAGCAGCGGAGCGACGGGGCTTCACCAGGCCTGGGCTCCCTGCTCTAAGGCTGCCCCTTCCGGCCCGCCAGGCCTGGATCCTGCGCGGGCGTGGGCGGAGCTGCCTCATTCTCCTCGTCCAAAGACCTTCCGGATGACGTCCTCGCCTTCATCAAGGCTCACCCCCTGTTGGACCCCGCAGTGCCACCTGCCACCCGGCAGCCTCTCCTCACCCTCACCAGCAGGTACCTGCCACCGCCTTCCCTGCCACTGTCCTAGCGCCG